TTACTTAGATACTTCTGAGATGAGGCAAATCTCTCTAAGAGTGGCACAGTTTGTGTTATCGCCGGAATTCTGAAAATGAGCTCCGAAGTTAAAATGGTAACAAAGAAGGAATTTAATTCGAATGTCTCTGTTATTATTAATAATAATTAATATTAAAATAATAATTAATTATTATTATTGTTAAAGAAGAATGATATAATTATTATAATTATTATTATTAATAGCAATAATAATTATTAGTAATAATAATAAAAGATCATTATGACTTATAAATATATAATGTCTAACAAAAATTCTGCAAATTTCAAAAATTTAATCAAATTATAATTTTTCTTCTTTACCGTATTTTGTTTCTTTTAATTAATTAATTATTTAATGAAATCATTTTCAAATAGATATGATTAATACTTTCCCTCATATTACACAAATATCAGTCTTACTTCTTCAAATGTATAAATGAGTATATTTTAACTTACATACTTGCAAAAACACTCAAATCAATTTTTCATTTCTTAAGAAGTGTCTTTTGAAATTCCATGGTTTTGTTTATATTTGACTGAGCTAAAATGATGTTAGATAGATAAGTTAAGTTTTTATAACAAATGAGCTTTATCCATCCAAAAGCATTGATTGCTTTCATGTCATAAAGGCTTTTTCAAATGTGCCATTTTTGGCCTATTAAATAGGCCCTATCTAAACTTCATCATTTATTTTTGCTAAATCTTACAATTCAAATAAATTAATGGGATTTTTTCCTCTCTTCCTTTTCTCTAATATTCATCTTCAAAATTCTATTTGATAATTAATGATGAATTTATTAGAGAAGGCATTATTAATAGCATTTTAAAATTTGAAACTTCTCTATCATTTCTCTCTCTTTTCTTATCAATCAAAATAATATTGGAAAAGAAATACTTCGTGTTATCATTGATAATATTTTGAGGAGGAAATATGATTGATTGCTAATATGAATTCGTTCATAAATAATTGTTAAAAAATAATTTATTATTATTTTTTGATTAAAATAATTATCGATAATTTAGCCCATTATGAAATTTTCATCCTAAGTCTAATTTAGGATGAAATTTTAATTACTAAGCAATTAAAATTCAAAGCCTTGTAGTCAAAATTTGATGTTAAAATAAAGCTAGTGGATGATTTTACTGCCTACTTGAAATATTATTTGCTTCATCTCGAAACATTTCAACCAGCTGACATAATTTAGTTGAGTTAGGCTTGTAGCCTGAGGGATGTATGTATGTGTGTTGTCTTTATGTCTGCTATGATTGTTGCCATCTTGTAGTACATAATTCTTCATTAGCTGTTGTTATTTTTTTTTTTTAGTTATAACTAATAACAACAACATAATTTGATTGTTTCTATTTTAAATAATTATTTAAATTATAATCTTATGCATTTGCAATTTCACGTAATTTTCACGTAAATTAATTTCACGACAACATAATTCGATTGTTTCTATTTTAAATGATTATTTAAATTATAATCTTATGCATTGTAATTTCACGTAATTTTCACGTAAATTAGTTTCACGTAAATTTAAAATAAACCAATTTCTTTCATTTTCTTTGCTTCTAATGATTTCTCTTAAATTTAATAATTACAGTTTTAAATAATTAATATATCTATTTATCACTATATAAATATATTCTTTGATAATTAATATAATTATTTCAATCAACAATTCATTTTTAAAATTTTCAAAAAACTATTCCAAAGCTAATTTACTTCGAAAAATGAAAGAGAAAGAAAAGGGAAAACAAAGAAAATACTGTGGAAAATATTGATGAAGAAAAGAAAAATAGCAAATTTGTGGTTCAGAAAAATTTTTCAAATTTTCTTAGCAAAAAAGAAATCACAAAGAAAACTTTTAAATTTCAAATTGGCAATTATTTGTTTTGTTGAAAAATTTAAGAAACAAAATTCGTTTCCTTTTTTTGCTTATCTCATTTCGATGTATTAATTTTATTGAAAAATCTTTTGAAATTCTTTGAAAAACTTTGCTAATTATAATTTTGTAATTAATTTGAATTATACATTAGTTGGAAACAATTTTTTTTGAATTATTATTATCAAATAGTTTTGGTACTTTTATTTTAAAATTGATAAATGTATATTTGATTTTATTCCAAAAATATTATAAATGAGATTTTGTGAGAGAGAGAGAGAAATCAAAAATAAAGTTCTAATTAGTTTATTGTTTTAGCATAGTTTCTATTCATTCATCATTTTCACATATTCATTCGTCGTTCTCACGTGTTCATTCATCGTTTTCACGTATTCATTCATCATTTTCACGTATTCATTCATCGTTTTCATGTATTCATTCACCGTTTTCACGTATCCATTCACGTTTCCACGTATTCATTCGTCGTTTTCACGTATTCATTCACGCTTTCATGCACTCATTCGTCGTTCTCACGTGTTCATTCATCGTTTTCACGTATTCATTCATCATTTTCACGTATTCATTCATCGTTTTCATGTATTCATTCACCGTTTTCACGTATCCATTCACGTTTCCACGTATTCATTCGTCGTTTTCACGTATTCATTCACGCTTTCACGCACTCATTCGTCGTTCTCACGTGTTCATTCATCGTTTTCACGTATTCATTCACGCTTTCATGCACTCATTCGTCGTTCTCACGTGTTCATTCATCGTTTTCACGTATTCATTCATCATTTTCACGTGACAAATTTTCATTTTCATCATCGTAGTAGATGTTTCGAATTTTTTAAAAAGAGTCGAAAGGAACTCATAAAAATTGAAAATTAACTTAGTAGAAAGCAAAACATTTATCGCTTTTTCTTTCATTGAAATACGATAGCGATAAAACAATGAGTGCAACAAGTGTTCTTCTTTTTCTTCAGATTTCATAGCATCAAATTTCACCCTCAATTTATACTATGCTTTTCAGTTCCTTGTCCTATGCAATTATTCTCTTAACACTATTCCTTAAATATCATCGTTACGAATATTACTTTAAATACCATATTCCTTTAAATACCTTATATATAGTTTTTCAAATGTTATACTTATCGTTTAATGACTTGCTTCAAATAATATCATCATCTCACTCGAAATACCGTATTCCTTTAAACACCTCACATATACAGTTCTTGAAATATTATATTCATGATTTAGTTGATGATTTTTCTTCAAACACTATCATCGTTATGAATATTCACTTTAAATATCGTATTCCTTTAAATATGTTATATATACTTTTTTTAAATTATAGTTTAATTGATATTTTACTTCGAACAATAATGCGTCATTTTAATTTCGATCTTATCTGTTAATGGATTATAATTACTGAAATTCATATTAATTCGGAATTTTAGATTTTCATTTCTTGAAATTGATTTATTTTATCAAATTCGTATTGTTATGTGATAAACAAATAACATTTCTGTTATTCAATAAAATTTATCAAACAATGAGAAAATTCAGTAAGTTTTATTACTTTTTTTTATGAGAAAAATAGATTTCAATTTTTAACTTTTAGAAAGATACCTAACAAAATAGTAGGAGCAAAAGTTTATCAATGATAAAAGAAAATATCTTCAATTACATCAAATCAACACTTTCATAAATGTATTACGTTTACGGTAATATAACCTATGACATATGTTCAAAATTGTAATATATGATAGATAACGTGTAAATTAATGTTATATATTATGCATGATTACATGACAATTAATGTTATGTATTATTATTCTTTCGTTGTAAATAATGTTTTTAAAATTATAATCAAATTTTATTTTTCTATTTTTAGTAAATTTTAATTAAAAAAGAAAAGCAAAATATGTGATATTTCAGCGCAAGATACTGGCTTATATGAGAAACAATTTCTCTTATCCACTGAACGTGGTGAACTTGAAAATGTTCGTAAATTGCTAGAAATTTATAAATCTACTGGTGCATTTAATATTAATTGTTTGGATCCATTAAGAAGGTTTGTGTAAAAATGAACTTCAAAATTGATTTTCTTTTAACAAATAAAATTAAATCAAAATTTCATCAAACATTTATTTTATTATCCAACTTTTTCAGATAATAAAATTTTTGAAAGAATAAAAAATATTTTGATCAAATTTCTTTTGTCTTAACAATTTTACAATTGAATGAATAATTTGGTAATAAAAATTATTTACTTCAAAAATGAAACAATGATTTGAAAAACTTTAATAAATAAATTTCAATTGTTTTTTTCTTAATTTAATTTCTTCACAGGTCAGCACTTCATATAGCTATCGAAAATGACAATATTGAATTAATTGAATTGCTATTAGAATATAATATTAATACTGGTGATGCTATCCTATATGCTATCATGGGAGAAAATATTAAAGCAGTTGAAATACTTTTAGAATATTTGGAAAAAATTGGCAAATTTACACCTGAAGTTTGTAATTTTAATTTTCCTTCCATTTTGATGCTAATATTTTTTGAAGCTAATTATTATTTTAATTCAATTAATTTTATTTAATTCAATTTGTTCAAATTTAACAAGTTTTTTGATTGAAATTTATTCCTCAATTAAAATGAAATTCAAATTTTATACTTATTTCAATATAAATTTTAATTTTAAATTATTTCAGACTCAAGGTGTTGAAATTACTGCATATTCAGCATTTACATGCGATATGACACCAATCATTCTTGCAGCTCATAAAAATAATTATGAATGTATTAAGTTATTATTGGATAAGAAAGCTACCATACTCCATCCACATGATATACGTTGTTTGTGCAAGGAATGTGTACAGGTAGATAAAGCTATCGTTCTTTAGGTAAATAAATCAGCGCATACCAATGCTACAGTAAACTATTTCAAACTAAGAGTTAAATTAATGAATATTTTCAATGAAAAATTGAAGAGAAGCTATTCTTTACAAACAATGAAATTAATTAGATTAATAATTAAAAAGTTTTTAAAAAATCATTACAAAGAATTAATTTTAATAAAATGATCTTTTGAGATTGAAATATTATTTATAGGCAAAAGCAGAAGATTCTTTATGTTTCTCACGATCACGTATTAACACATATCGGGCACTGACCAGTCCATCACTTATCTGTTTATCCTCAAAAGATCCTATATTGTATGCATTTGAGCTCAGTTATGAGCTTAGGCGCTTGTCAAATATTGAAAATGAATTTCGAAATGAATATCAGGTGAACCGATTTGAAGAAAGAAACTGTTTTAAGGAAACTTTTCACTTCACTGTAAATTGGTTTTAAAATTAAATTATTATCATATAATACTATAAATTTATAAAATTTAATTAAACATGAAATTTGTTCGAAGAATTAGTGAAAATTTTGAGTCCATTAATTTTATTTATGTTAATATGATATTTTGGAGGTTATTTTAAGAATTTAAAATTTGTTAAATTTTAAGAAATCCTTACATTAAAATTTTTTACTATTTATTCTCCTTTTCCTTTTGTTTTTGTTAAAAAGTTATAAATTATTAACTGTATTATAAAAAATAGTGAATGAGAAATTTTTGTAAATTAATTAAAAATTAATTGACTAATTATAATATTCGAATTAATTGCTGTCATTTAATTTGTAAATACTTTGATCGCAAAAGTATTCATTAAATGTTTTGAAATTATAATACAGAAAGAAATACTGCTATTGAATGCTAAATAAAAATTCATAGTGATTGACTAACAAATCAAATCATGTAATAATAATAATAATTAGTATCACTCATTATCATTACTGATAACATCGTTATTTATTATTAATATATGTATATGCGATATTTTTAGGAGCTCAGTCGAAAATGTCAATCATTTAGTGTAAATATGCTGGAACAGGTACGCGGATCTAAGGAATTAGAAATTATTCTTAATCATACTACAAATGCATGGGAAGAAGTGACCGAAAGGAAGAGTGCTAATTTTTGTCAAAATTTAGCAAGATTAAAACTTGCTATTAAACTTAGACAAAAAATTGTAAGTAATTCATAAAATTTTTGAATTACAATTAATTCGAAAATTTAAATTTTGAAAGTTAAAAGTTAAAACAAAAGATAATTAAACTAAACGATCATTTTGATCGTATGCAAAAAGATTGTTTGTTCATTTTGTTTAAATGTAGAATTTTTCAAACGTGAATTGCTATCATTATAATTTGCTGATAATTTTCGTTTAAGTTCAATACAATGAAATTAATTAAAGTTGTGCATTTAAATCGATAACGCGAACTAAGTAGCATATTAATTATTTAATTAACCATATTATTGAACTGATCATTAACATACAGTTGCTTATAATGCTTAACTGAATGGTTGATAATATTATTTTAATCAAATTACTGATGTTTTATCGATATGGATATAATTTTTGAAATAGATACTATCAGGAGTCATTTTAGTTCGTTGCACATCCAAACTGTCAACAACTGTTATCAGCGATATTTTACGAGGGTCTTCCCGGATTCCGTGATCGTCATATTGTCACAAAGGTTAACTTTTATAAAATCATTTCTTTAATCTTTCATTCGTTTTATATTTGATCAATGTTAGAAATATTTCTCGTTTAAATTTCAGCAAAAAAATTCATACGAAAATTTATATGTTTAAATGGAAGATTAATTCAATGGCTATCATACATTTTATCATGAAATGATTATCAATTTGATAGAAGCATTTCATTTTGTTGCACTTTTCATAATACTATCATCGATTTAAATGATAAGAGAGAGATAAACTTCCGACAAAACTTTGACAGCCATATATTTACTGGTCAATTAATTGATAGAATAATAATGATAATAATAATTATAATTAATAATAATGAATAATAACAATAATAATTAATGATAATGATAAATAGTAACAATAATTATTGCTGTTAATAATTAATAACAACAAATAATACTTATTAATTATTAATAATAAATAATATTAATAATAATAATGAGGAATAATAAATATTAAAATAATAACAATAAATAATAGTAATAATTCAGTTGTTGCTATCAATCAATTGAGTTGAAAAAAAGTAAAACAATTTTTTAAAAAAAACGGATAGCTTTATACAAACTGTCATTACTTTTAAGACTTATAATTAATCACTGATAAATTATTTGAAGATGTTGATTATCTTGGGAGTATTAATAGCTTCACCGTTATTAGCTATTATTTATGTTGTTGCACCCAAATCGTCGTTTGGTGAATTCGCTCGCCGACCGTTCATTAAATTTTTATGCCATTCAGCTTCATATTGTTTTTTCCTTTGTTAGTTTTACTTCTTTTTGCAACCTTTTTATACGAAGAACTGATCAATAAACATTTTTGAATAATTATTTTTAAAAGATTATGATTAATTAATTATTGAATTAATTATTAAATATTTCCAGCTCTACTTATTCTTGCTAATCAACGAATCAGTTATGATGTAATCTTTAATACAAAATCTGTATCATCGATATATAATGCGTATGATAATAAAGATATAGATCTTAAAGAAGTACGTGGTCCACCACCAACACTTGTTGAATTAGCTATTCTTGCATGGGTTTTCGGTTAGTTAAATGTTCTTCTTCTGTATAATTAAATTTAAGTAGATTTTAATTATGGATTAATTAATTGCATTTATTTGATGTATTCAATAAGTTGGCAACAAGTTAATAAAGTTTCATTTTTTTAAGTATATGTAAATTTTTTAGTTTAATATGTGCATAGAACAATCAATAAATAATTGATAATAATTGAAGTAAAATTTTATTTTTTAATTTTAGAACAAAAGATATATTTTAGGTTTGGTATGGGTTGAAATCAAGCAATTATGGAATGAAGGCCTTTGTGATTACTGTTCCGATCTATGGAATATCCTTGATTTCGTAACTAACGCATTGTATTTATGTACTGTTGCACTTCGAGTCGTTGCTTATTTGCAGGTTTCAAATAATATTTTAAATTTTTGATTTGAAAAATAAACAACTAATTTATTCCTAATTAAATAATTAACGTATGCTATATGAAAACTATATTATTACTTTTTTCTTTCCATTTTATTTTTCAGGTTGAAGCAGAAATTCGTAATCCACAAATGCGACATTTAGGACGTCATATCTTACGACGTGATTGGGATGAATGGGAACCAACGTTAATCTCAGAATGTGCCTTTGCAACGGCTAATATTTTCTCATCCTTGAAAATGATTCATATATTCACTGTTAATCCACATCTTGGACCACTTAGGATATCACTTGGTTATCACTTATCTTTTTTTTCACAATTTATCAAATTCATTGATATCTAACTGATATCTTACTGTAAGTTAATTTTTATTTTAATTTTTAAAAATTTTCATTTTCTAATTGTTTGATAAATTATAGGTCGTATGGTTTTGGATATTGTCAAATTTCTTCTCATTTATTTTCTTGTGCTATTTTCATTTGCATGTGGTTTGAATCAATTGTTGTGGTACTATTCAGCGATGCGTCGACAGGTGTGATATATATTCGCCAAAACAAGCTGATAATATATTATATCGTATCATTATGTTAAATATCCGATGAAATGAATGAAGGAATAACTGTGCTAATGAATAATTGCTTATTTCATCAATTTTTAATTTCACAAATTAACTATCATTTTGATTTAAATTATTTTTGATTTTGTATATTTTTAATAAAAATAAAGAAATGGCTTATTTAGAAGTCTCGTATATAATTCTGAATTCTTAAAATGTTCAATATTATTTGAAACATTCAGGAAATTTCCGGATTCTGTAGAATTTAAATTTCATTACTAAGATTTCATGAATTTCAGAATTTTATAAAATTTTGATACTGTTTTAAAGACTTTATATATATTTATATATTTCTTCCGGGTTACTTCCAAAATTTTAATATTATTTGAAGGAACAGATGCAATTTGATTTTTTTTAAAGGAATGTGAAAAATATCAATCACTGATGAGCAGCTCATATCAGAATGTGCCAGTAAAAGAATTGATTCGAATGGAAGAATCATGTGATCCAAAATATCGCGCTTGCGAAAGGTTAGCAATTAAATTTCATACTACACATAGTTCAATTAATTTTAATTATTTATGAAATGAACAATCTTTTTCCGATCAATTGTGATCCAATCAAATTTTTGCTTCTTTTTCTCCATTTGGATAATTTTTCTTTATGAATTTAAATTATGAAATTAAATTATGAATTTAATTATCATATTTCTATTTCCAAAATAATCTTAAATTAAATATGTTAAATATAGGAAAAAAAGGAGCAAATAAAGTGAACCATTTTTTTCGTAACCTTTTGAGGTCAAATGATCTGAATAACTTTTTGTTAATCTGGATGACTGTTAATCTGATAACTTGATTTGGATGACTGTTGATCTGAATAATTCTGTTGATCTGAAAATGTTAATCTGAATGACTGTTGATCTGATAACTGTTGATTTGGATGACTGTTGATCTGAATAACTCTGTTGATCTGATAACTGTTAATCTGGATGACTGTTGATCTGAATAACTATTGAGCTAATAATTCAAAATAATAAACTACAGAGATTTTTATAATTTTATTGAGAATGAGGAAAGGAGAAAAAAAGCGAAGGAATTATGGATGAGAAATGAAAAATTCATATCCGACAGATTTAATAGATATTAAATTTTCTTTTTAATTTCGATTTTATTACTTTAAATTCAGTAAATGATATATCAAATAAAAATGTTTCAGATTTCAATAAATGATATTAAATAGAAATTAAAATATTAGTAAAATCGGTAACAATTAAATATTTTTTTGATTAATATCATTATCAAGCACAATATATAGCATATTATATTTAGTTTATACAATTCAATGGAAACATTATTTTGGTCATCATTTGGTATTATTATTTTGGAACAATTAGAAATCGTCGAATCACATGGCCCAACTAAATGGACAGGCCGTACAATACTTGGCTGTTATTGTTGTTGTTCGGTGATCGTCCTTTTGAATATGCTTATCGCTATGATGAGCAATTCATATCAGGATATTTATGTAAATGATTAAAATTATAATTTTTAAACTAATTTGTTAAATAAAAATGCAACATAATTATTTATGATAACCGGAAGAAATTATCCATTCTTATCACTTAGTTTTATCATTTTTCTTTGTTATCTTATCAGTGAATGTTTAAATTCTTTTTACTATTATTGCATTTATTTTATTTGAAGAAATTAGATTTTATCCATTTTACATAATATTTTATGAGGAGAATTTCTTTTCTTCCGTTTAGAATCAAGCAGATGTTGAATGGAAATTTGCTCGAAGTAAACTTTGGATTGAATATTTCGATGATACAGCAACCGTTCCTCCACCTTTCAATATGATTCCAAGTCCGAAAAGTTTATTCTATTGTGTTCAATGGTGTTTAGAATGCATTTATAAATCAAATCGAACTGTTGGTTATAATTTTCGTAGTGTACGGGTTAGTTAGTTGAAGAATATATTTCATACCCATAATTTTGTTAAAATTTTAATTTTTTCCTCACCACAAAAAAATGGAAAAGACAGTTATTTGGAATGACAAAATAAACTTATAATTAAAAATATAATTAATAATAATAATAATAAATAATAGTAATAACAATAAATAATAATAACGATAATAATAGTAATAATAATAATAATAATAATAATAATAATAATAATAATAATAATAATAATAATAATAATGACAATAATAATAATGATAATAATAATAATAATAATAATGACAATAATAATAATGATAATAATAATAATAATGATAATAATAATAACAATAATAATAAGAAGAAGAGTAAAAATTTCCATTCATTTGATTAGAATTCTAATAGCTTTAAAAATCATAAACGAATAATTGTTAGCAGCGAAGATTGCATTTATATTAATTCTTAAAAGCTTATTTTATTAAATTATAAAACGAAAGTAATTTTTCAGAATCAAAAAATTCTCAAAACGATCAACAAAAGAGAGAATAATTATCGAGTAAGTTATGAAATAATTATAATGCAATAATTAATGTTAGAACAAATACATAATAAAATATAATTATAAAAAATTGATCATTAATAATTAATGGGCTTTCAAAGAAAATTCTAAACTTTTATTAAAAAATTCTTTTGAAATTTTAGTTTGTAATGCGTAATTTGGTAAAACGATACATTGCTCATTTGCAACGTTGTAAACAACAAGCTGAAAGTATTACTGAAGATGATATAGCAGAAATTAAGCAGGTACTTTTATTTTGAATGATTTATTTATATGGCATTTGATTTATACCTTTCAATGTTTTACATTTTCATATTTGATTTTAAGCATTTTAATGAATCGCTTTATATTTGATTTAAATGTTTTAATGTAAAAATACAAGCTTGATAAATTTTATATTTCCCATAAAGTTACAACTTCCTTGGATTAAAAAGAAGCTTGCTGAAATTTCAAAATCCTGAAAATGACTAAGTTAATTATCAGAAAAAAAATTTTTACTTTAAATATTGAGACAAATATAGATTGAGACAAATTAAATTTTCAAATCTTTATATTTTCAAATCTTTGTATTAAATTTAAATATTGAGACAAATTAAATTTTCAAATCTTTATATTTTTGAAGAATAATTCTAATCGTTTTAGGATATCAGTACTTTCCGATACGAATTACTTAGCATTCTACAAAATGCTGGTTTCAACACCGGTGATATCAATCTTAAACAAAGAACAATTCGTTAGTTTATAAATAATATTATCTTTCTTTTCATTTTCTCTTTTAAAATTCCTTGGATATACAGTTTTGTAAAAGAGCGTTTTTTTTTTTAGATTTTATTCATATAAAGAAATTTGAAAATTTAATTTTTATAATCATTCGTTTTTCCCTCTTTCATATATTATTGTATAGATCGAAGTAAGAAACGAAGTTTAAATGCGGAACGTCGATTATTGAAGGATACAACGGAATTGATTAGTATTCCAATGCCGGAACGATTATTGAATGGTACCAGTGACGATGATGAAAAAGAAGAGAATCATGAAGTTGATCGAAAAGAACGCAGGTTTTTTTAATCAATCAATTTTTCTCTTCCTCATTAATATCATTATCATTATCATTAATATTTGTGAAAATGAGATTTGAATTTTGCACTTTTCTTTTCCTCTTTTTCATTCCTGTTTTTTTGAAATATAATTTCATATTCTTCATTTACTAAAATTTGTAATTTTCTTTTATGTTAACTAACCATATGATACGTGATATTCTTAATTATCAGTGAATTAGAATATTTATTTTATTATCATTGATTAGAATATTTATTTATTTAATTTTATTATTGATTCCATTATATTTATGTTCCATATGTGTTGTTAAACGTCTTACGTATATTATTATTATCAACGTATATTTTTGTTGTCAATAAACACCGATATATATTACATATATATAGTTTGCATAATTTTTCGTTTTTTAAAATTTTTTCCATGTTTTAACATCATAGATAAATTTCTGTGATTATTTATTATTTCTCTCCCAAATACTAATCATAATATTTTGCGCTGAAATAAATTGTTATTTGTGAATGAATTTACTAATAAATATTTATTTGACGTAAGATTTCGGAAGAAGAAAAAGATATTTAATTTTAAATAATTTAATTGCATTGATAAATTATCGTAATTTAATTGATAACGCGATGTGATTATAAAATGCTCCACAGATTTAGTACAAAAAAATTATCCTATTCATTCTTAACAATCTTTTATCATTTTTATTTTCTCTTATCATTTGTTCATTCATCCCTCCTCTTCCCCCATTAATTACATTAATTATTAAATTGATAAAATTAATTAGATGATTAATAAGACATCTAATTAAAATATTAAAAAATTAATAAAATTTGAAACGAGAAGAAAATGATGGAAAGGGTGAAAGTTGGTATCTTATTTTTATAGTTCTTCTTTATTATCTTTAATGGTTAAAGAAAAAAAAAGGGAAAAGACGAAGAAAACATGATTTATATTTTCAATCAAACTTTATTCATACAGAAATTTCTAGAGGTTTACCTGTTCCAAAGCCAGCAGCGAAATTTGCAAGCAAACTTAAGAAGGTATGTTTACATTATCAATTCTTCATTTCCTTTATCATTCATTTCCATCTACATTCAATTATTTAATTGGTTATAATTAAAATTTTAAAGCAATATAAACAGTACCCATTATTATTATTAGGTACTACCACATACAAGAACAAACGATGCTATTATTAAGCCACGTTTTGTGAGGAATGCACCAGGTGGATGGCCGTTTATTTCGCATGGTTTAGAAAGGAATCTTAATGCCTTAATCAATGTCTACTCTTTACCTGTTGATATCAAACCACCAAAGTAATTTCTCATTATTTAAGTCTTTTCCTTAAATATGCTAAAAACAGGATTTTCCTTTTCTCTCTTCTTAAAATATTGAAATTAGCGCCGAGATCATATTTCTCATCTCGATCTCAACTGCTGAATAAATTAATAATCCACACAACATCTGATTTTATACTAAAATATCATTTAGTTAGTTGTGCCAAAGCTTTCAGTTTACCAAGTGATTAGTGCTATCGTAAACTTAGGTCATTGTGAACGTGTGCATTTCAGCTCCTTTCCTTGAAATAAAGCTTTTTTTGCAATTCAACGTACTTAAATGACAAGGAAGGTATTCGTTATCGCATAAATATTGTTTACAGAGTAGCGCAACCGACTATCAAATCTCATGTTATTCAAGGCACGGAAGAGGATGATGAAGATTTGGAGCTAGTTGTTGATAGTGACGAGGATGATACCATTGATAACGATAAAGAAGATAGTATCAGTCAGAGCAGGTTTGATTATAATAATTCTAGCACTGTAATTCTGCATTTTTTTTTCAAAACTTAATCTTTAATTTTGCAGTACAAAAAATGATAAAATAAATCGCAAGTTTCGTCACTTTTCCAAGAAAGCACGTCGTTATCGTTCGGACAGTATTTGTTTGGAAATGGGTTATCAAGAAGATCCACCATTTAAATCGTGATATAAGGAAAATAATTTCTTTTCCTTTTTTGTTACAGAAATTAAAATTGTCGTTACTACATAAATACATGTATTGATAATGAAGATTAAAAAAATGTAAAAATACTACCTTGCATAAAGAAACGAAGGAAGAAACACAGATGTTGCGGAAGTGCTAAACTAATATCTGGTACTCACGGAATCGGTGTTAGCATTGGCCTGTTACATTCTGTCATCTTGTGCAACCTACCAAGTTTTTCCATAGTATCCACTTCTGATTAAAGAACTAGATGATAGGTGTTACATAGCATTACCTCACTATCGGCTTCGTTGACTCTCGATACCTTGTTTCATAAGAATTTATTTGAAAATGAACAAAAGATTTGTGAAATTATTTATAAAATGTGGAAAGCAATTGATGAATTTATTCATTCAAACACTACATCCGAAATTCATATATATATATATATCTTTGAAGCATTCGATTCCATCACTACCATTATAGTTTAATTAGCAGTAATTAAAAGCTTATAGAACAGAATGATAAGAGAGACAGTATGAGATGAATTAGTTTCTGAAATAATGCATATGTTGTAATTACCATAATGAATAAATAGATTAATGAATTGAAGATTATTTATGTTTCGTTGATTTTATTTGTTTTATAGTTACCGCTATTTGTTTATATACTTAATCATCACTGTTTCGCATTGCTTTTATTTACCTTACTCACATTTATTTCATGAATTATTTTCACCATTTAAGTTAATATCAGAATTTTCATTTGAAAACTTTAAAAAAAATATTTACTGAGAAGCACAGTTTAGTATCAATTAATACAGAGCAGTTCAAGGTTATTCTGATTGAATTGAAATGTAAGAAACTTACACTTAAAATTCGCAATAAGAAAAAGTGCTCCAAGCAGGAGCATTTTATCCCTTGCAGCGATATTTCGTGGAACTTAAATATGATTTTTCTTTTTTAAATTACAATTTTGAAATGAAGGATTCTTCATCTGTAGGAAGGCTGTTTTTAAGTTGCTCATTAATGAATTCAAATAAATTAAAAAGAAACAGTGGAAGACTACTAACATGAGATATTGAAATTGTCAATAGCTGTGGTTTTATCATTCGTTTCTGCCCATTTTTTAATGATAATACCAATAAGAATGTTCTTACTTGCTGATATCACCTAACATTAGCATAACTCAGAATTTAAGAAACGATTTCAAATTAATTTAAATTTTGACTTGCAATGGGACTGCAAATCGAGAAATTTACATCGATTCATTTTACTTTTGGGATATTTCTGGTTTCAATATTTCTTCTTTCCTATCGGAAGAATACCAACATATCATATCAATAATTACTTATATTGTTAGCAGTGAAAGCATGGAAAAATGCACCTCATACTGTATATTACAGCAACAACATGCAAAGCAACCGAAATTATGTGTTGAACCAACAATAAAATATTTTAGATTCCCTTCTGCGTCCTCTACTTGATAGTAAGGTCTGATGAAACTAATTTGTTGGATAACTGCACCTATAACTTATTCAATAACTATAATTATTGCATTATTGCATGCCAGCCGCAATAAAATAAATTGCAGTAATTCGAGACACTGATAGAGTAATCAGGGTTATCAACTGATAATTAAACGGCACGTCCTTTAAAAATATTGTAGTATTCAAAATATTCTGTGTGCTCAATTTTTAAATTTTAAAGTATGCGATTTAAGATTCATTTCGACTGAAAGTAGTAGCACTTCGTGAACAGACCAATAATAAGTCCTGGAGGCGATTCAATCATTATCTGATGAGAATTATTAGTCGAAAATGTGCAGCATACTGGATAAGTACCACATCGCGTAAAAAAACTTGGACATGTTATCATTTTTTCCATTCTCATCTCTTCCTGATTTAAGTTGTTACAGTTGTTACACAGTATCATGAAAATATCACATTACGTAAGATTGACGCTAGTAAGTAAGTTTTGCTAAGTCTGGCATACAAAAGTAGAATGTTATTGGAAGTCAACAATTGAAATGACATATATTTGAATTGGGATAATAAAAAAAGGAAGTTAGAAGAATTCCATTTGAACTCGAGACTGAATTATCTATTCATTTTCCCAAATATGTCAACAATATGATATTACTCTAAGTTATTTTAATAAATATGTATGTCTTTTAGGTAGGATGGGACTTAGGCCTTACTTGTCCTGTAGAAGTGGTGAAATGTAATTGAGAATATCGCGGTGTCCTACAATCACATTGACATGTATTATCTGATGTTTCAAATACATGATAAATCTAAAATTCGACCGATTTTTCTAGCAGCTTTTTCGGACATTTTTAGTTTTTTAAATTATTGTAGTTGAAAGCAAGAAATATTTTGGTCTAAGGTACATTTTGAAGTGAAATAAAAACACAACATTTCAAACTTACCATCTGTTGCTAGTAATAATTTCCTAAGAATTCCCTTCTCCCTCCGTAAAAAAAACAGCAACAAAGTTGAAGATCCGTGTTTTCGTTTTTTTATTCAGAAAATCAATTCCCAGGTAATAGAGAGATAAGAGACGCATTATCTCAAGTCTTTAGGAAATAAATGCTTTAGGCTATAAATATTTTAAGGCTTGAATTGTTTACACATCAATTCCGCAACGCTTTCACGCCATTAGCATCCCCAATCAAATATGTCTTGGAAATTTTTGCAACTTTAGCATTCCTGTGCTTGTTTTCGTATTAAATAAAAAGAAATGAACGAACAAATAATTGATGAATGAAGCAAAAGTATTACCAATTTTCCATCGATATCTTGGACAACATATCGATTCCTTCTAAGAAAACCAAGAAATGTATCCATCACATTAGAGTTCTGTAATTAATCAATTTCTAATTTAATCTTTAAATGAATTTAACAATTTCTTTTTAATTTATCAGTTATAGATTAACGCTGTTTTTCTTAATATTACGTGAAAATTATATCCTTTTTTAGAGCATTTAATTGAATGCAATAAAAAGTTTTAACCAAATAATTTCAAAAATGTTTTGAAGTTCCTTTTTCAAATGAATTGAAAGTTTCAAAATTTAATAATGAAAATGACAACCTGTCGAATGTAAAACTGTTTGAGTGGTTCAAGTTTTAGCAAAGTTTTATGTTCAATTATTGGTAAATAATTATTTTGTTCCTCGTCTAAATGTGTTAGTTTTATTATACTCAAAGTAATCTATTGATATATAAGACTTGAGCAAAATACAATTAAAATATTAAAACATACATTAAAATATTACACTAAATACATTAAGTTTTAAATACAAATTAATTTATACAAAATACATTAAATGTATATTTTGCTTAAGTCTTATATATTAATTACAAAATACATTAAAATATTAAAAAATGAATTAGAAGAACATTAAAACATGAATTAGAAGAACATTAAAGCATGAATTGGAAGTACCTGTACCATTTCTGTTGCCAGTTTGACCACTGATAGCATTTGAAATTTTAGCATTCTTGGAAAAGTTTGTTTGTGGATAAGGTTGACTGGTGATAGCAGTAGATGAAATTGATGCAAAATATTCCGATTTCGAATTTGAACCATCACTTTCCGGGAAATGTTCCCTATTTGCATTGCTTTTAGAGCTACTTTCGGTCTCATGATTTCCATTTTCCTTGTTTTGTCTCTCTGTAATTAAAAATATCATTACGTATGATAAAGCAAATTGTACCGAAACTATATAACACCAGAATTGATTTTAAGACCCCTCAGTGACCCTAGATCTCTTTTATATTGATAAAATTCGTCTTTCATACGACAATTTATTAGTAAAGATTCATTCAGATAAATAATGATGCAGGATATGGTCAAGGTAAGGATTATTTGGTTTGTAAATAGTGGAGTATCTCAAGCAAGAGAATGAAGCACTTCTCTTTTCAACATAAGAATTGAAATATAACTTAAGCAATGTCATGACCTTCAACCCGTACTGCTGCTCTCTTTGACATCGTCTAACCGAGCAACACCGCTGAAAATCCAATACAACCATATATAAATATTTGATGTCAATAAATAAATTTATTTGAAACCAACTTTCTTTTTAACCCAGAAATTTACATATCATTACGTAAAGATCTTTATATATACGTCGAACATTCACAGCTTATCATGACAGGTTCACAGTTTTGACAATTAAACACATAGGTTTGCGTGTACGTAACATATGTATGTATATATTGGAGGCATTCTTGCATGTGATGGAGATGCACATCGGATGTACATCAAAAGTTCGACGAAATGTTGAAAACGAATTTTTAACTTTTCATTTTTTCCTCATAGCTCGACCTGCCCTAACCTTTGACTCTGGCCTCTGAGTTCATTTTTCAGCAATTATGGCGAAAGTGGAGCAACTACGGTCATCTTTTCATGTTGACCGACAAAATTCGAGCGTACGCCATGCGAATTCTTGCCTAGGTGAGTAATTATTTGTTGTTTGTGACTAGTAGGGTGTTAACACTTTTGGACGTGTTTTTTATTTCCAGATCATTTCAGAACGTTTTGGAAGGGAAAGGAGAGGTTGATGTTTCACGTGTTTCACGTGTTGCAATGTTGCATGTCTTGCACGTGTTGCACGCATCTTTGTTCCTTACTATTTCATTTTGTTAAGATTTAAAAAAATTCTTTTTTGGAAATTTCCCATTTAATGTAGTGATACAGATATTTTAATGACGTAATTACGTGGAATCATTCTGCGAACACATTCTATTGTTTACGCGAAGTATTTCTTTTTTAGATAAAAGTATTATCAAATGGCGGAATTCCCTGGTTTTGGCCGTCATTGTAACTTCGATGACTGTAACTTGTTAGGTAATTTCCTCATTATCCGTAAATTTTTTATCCGTAAATTCCAGTTCCGTATTTGAATTTAAAATCAACAATGGTAATAGTATGTTATTTCATTTGACATTGTTGAAAGTTTCGACACTTAAATAATTGGCAGATCACTTTTGATTGGTACGTCACTTTGAATTACGCTTTTCTTTTGCTTCTAATTTTTTTATTTTTACTGCTATAACTTGTGTAGAAAGATTTAATGAGTGCAGTATTACTTAGTGAATTAAAATCAAATTTAATAACAACTGGCACAGTTTAGTACCACATCATTTTCTTCGTTATATTTAAGGTACTTTACTGGTTGTCATCTTTATCTAGTAATAAGGAATCGAATAATTTAGTAAGAATGTAAAACAGCATTAATACAATTATTGAAATATGCGTAATTACTTTTTCTGTGTCACTTTACACATATGTGATCATATGTTCCGAACTAAATATTTTGCTTCCAGCATGTTATGCGGGCCAGTTTTAATTTGCTATGAATTTTTGACCTGAATTAATAAAATGTTGGTGTTATTGCTGTCTCTAGCTTTCGTGATTGTATTTATGATTTTTTTATCTTCATTTTTGTGTCATTTTCATGTATAACATATCCTCGATTTCTTATTTATGACACCTATAATTTTCAGATTTCCTTCCCATTCAATGTGATGCGTGTGAAAAAGATTTTTGTAGTTCGCATTACTCGTACGATGCACACTGCTGTCAATCTTCATATAAAAGGGTATCATTTCATGTTGTTACTAAAATTTGATTTCAGAACAATTTCAGTGAATTTTTCTGATTCATTATAATTAATTGCACTCATGGGATGAGATTTTTTAAAAATTAGCGAGCTGTTTTTGTTGAATTTTTAGGATGTCCAAGTGCCAGTATGCCCGTTATGTAGTAAGCCAATTCCAGTAGCACGAGGAGAGCGTCCAGACAAACGAGTAAGCGATCACATCGATTCCAAATGTAAATCAAATCCTGCGATTGCATTAAAAGGAAAAATTTATGCTCATCGTTGCTCACAACGAAATTGTAAGAAAAAAGAGGTATGTTTTAAGTTTGTTTTCTGTTTTTACAAAGATTTTCTATGGATCCTGTTCTCAGGTGGAAAGATTCCTATATATGGAGTAAATACATTTGTGTATGTTTTGTGTTCAGTCCGAAGAAAGTTACTGGGTCGAGATAAATGTTATTTTCATGTATTTTTTTTATTTCTATTATTGATAATTTCTCTCTATATTGTACGGATCTAAATTGTAGTGCTGGTAGTAATCAACAAATCATTTAACAAATATAAATGAAAGATTCAAATGGCTTAAATGCAAAAATTCATATTTTTAAAGGTTTATGTGGTACTTGCAAACAATGTTGACAGTCGGTTATTTAAATGAGCTGAAATCATATTTCAGCTTGTTTCTATTAAGTGTAATCAGTGTGGGAGAAATTTTTGTTTAAAGCATCGATTTCCAGCCGATCATGATTGTATGGAAGTGAAAAATGAAAGGAGACTCTCAAATGCAGCGTATGTTTCATAACCTTTCTTTATCTTCTCTCGATAATTTCAGTTGATGCTAATTCTTTTATTACTAAATTGATTAATGCGTAATATCAACTATAGATTAGCCGCTTTGCGTCGTAATAAAAACTGTTCCCAGAATGAATCAGTCACAAAAGAATCTGGCAACAATCCTCGATTACCGGTTAACTCAGTGGTATACACATTTTTTTTTGTTTGATTGAAATTTTGTCTATAATATTTCAATTCGTATGCTTTTTCTTTCTAATATGATACGTGAAAATGATTGCATTATATTTCCGTTATTGAGCTATTTCATAATATTTTTAGTCGGAAGATGAAGCACTAGCACGGGCCATGCAGGAACTGTTAAATAACTCCAATGATTACATAACTTTAGAAGAACGCGACAGAGCCATTGCAGAAGAAATGCAAGCGATGGAGTATCAGTAGGTTGTTAGAATCCTAACTGAAATATTGAAATATTGAAACTAACTTCATTTAATATTTTAGACGCTGTGATGTCGTAGTGAAATCCTTTTTAATATGTTTTCAGATAGGATATTAAGCATGCAATTCAAATAATTCGTAATCTTTTTTGAGTGTCAAAAAGTTTTCAGGCAACAATTGAAAGAGCAGCGAGTTCCAGCGAATTCAAATCATGAAAGGTGCATTATTTCATAGTAGCAATCATTCGAGCTGAATTTATTTGAAATTCGAAGTGTTTTTCGAAGTAATTTTTTTATTCGATTACCATTGAAATCTTTATTCTTCTCTTGAAAAAAAAGGAAGTTTTATCCCGTTCGAAATGGTGAAATGAAACATTAAGCTTTTTTGAAATTTTTATGTGCCGTAAGTGTAGATTCCTTTTTTTTCGAATTTCATTTCTATGTTTTATTTTCCTCGATTACTTAGCACTTTTCCGGTTTTTCGTTTTACTTGCGATCGCTACCACATTATGCTTTAATTGTGTCAGAGATAATATTGTACGTTTCAGGTTGTGTTTTTGATTCTTTCATCATTCACATTTCTCGCTTATTTACTTGCAGTCTTTCCTATTTACCGTAATTTTTTCTCAGTTTATTGTCGATGTGATCCGGTTTTAATATCAGATAAAATTATGCTTTTGGTGTTTGAGACATTGGGATCGAAATCACTTTTCATTCACGTACTACACTTTCATTGTGTTAAAAATGGAATAATATATGCATATGTGTGGGAGAAAAAGAAAGATCCCCGAAAAGGGAATCCCCGATCTTATTGCAAAAACTTTGAATAAACAATGTTGAAACTAAAAATTTGGAGAAAAATCCTATCGCATATTTTAGTCAATGTTCTTTTAGGATTTTTCTATTCTCTATTTTGAAGATTTCTCTTCCACTTCATAAGATTAGTTGCAATTTCAATTGTTTATGATGATATCACAGATTTCTCTCTTGACAGCTTGAGCAGTTGGAATGACTTTTATACAGATTCCATATGGGAAAAGGGTACATTCTAATCATCCTTCATTATCCAATATGTACAGCATTTAATTCCTCTCTGTTTTTTTGACTAATAGAATTTTCAATTTTAAATTGAATAACAATTTTGAGAATGGATTAAATCGATTATTAAATTTAGCCAAAATTATTATTCGGACTGAAAAAGGAAGAGAAATTCAGGATAGCAAATTCAAGATGATAACATATTATCGCTATGTATTTATAGGTTACATTCAATGAATAGATTTGTTGAATTGATCCTCAGAAATTGTTTAGCATCAATAGATGTTGTTTTTATTACTATTATATATTTTCAGAGAAGAAGTTTGTTTACTTTTGAATATGAATGATTAAATAAATAAAGGTAATATTCATTTGCATACTCGATAAAGCACGACATTCGTGCCAACAAATAAGAATTCACGGTCTATTATGTTTTAGGTTGTATTCATTTTGATTAATTAATCAGTCACAAAATAAGATTAAATATTCATTCAATTTCTTTTTTTGTATAAGAAGTGTTAACTAAAATGTAATCGGAGAAGATTTCATCGTGCTTTTTAGAATATCAGGTGTTAGGAGGATGCTACTTTGTTGAAAATTATAATTATATTTTTGAGAAACAAAAGATTTAAAAAATGAATCAAAATTTGGAACTTAATAAATTTTAGTACTTGATAACTTAATAAATAACTTAATAAAAAAAATTATGCTATGAAAAATAGGTAAATATAAATTGATAGCTGTGGGATGCCATTTCTGATGAGTTGATTAGATCGAAATAATTAATAATAGGTAATGCCAATGTTATTCCATCATTAATGATAAAAGTAATTTTCGAATGCAATGCTTTCGGTATTATTACACAACAACGGTGCTATTACTGATTGAAATAACATTTGTTAAAAGTGTTGCATCAATGATGATATGTCCTGATGGTTACGCAGGTAACGAATTTCATGGTTTACTTTATGAATTGGGCTATGATACTTTAGCTCAAATGTAAGTAATCCTTTCATTTATTTATATCTTTAATATCTGTATAGTTCAATTAAAATGTATTGTAATGATGACATTTTGCGAGAGTATCATTACAATGTAATTAGTCAAGTTAATTACGAATATTATAATGTAATTAAGCACTAAATAATTTTTTAAAATAAGACAAAAGATTTCAAATATGTATATATTCTATCTATCTGCATGGATTTTAAAATATTCTATTTCAGATGTCCACCGGATAATTTCTTTTTTTCATATACATGTTGCGATCAGATATATTTCGATTGTTGTATAAGATTTCAATTATGGTTTATGTAAGTTTTCGATAAAGTTGAAATTTTAATTTTTCATTATTTCAATTAGATAATATTATTCATTCTCATTGTTTTCATTGAATGATTATTTTATTAATTATTTAAAAATATTTAAATTTGATGCAAAATTTTTTGCAGAATATTGGTGATAACAATGTTAATTTCGATCTCTTTTTGCTGCTTTTGCTTCTTATTTACAGCCATTCTATATGTAAGACCAAAAATTTAAATGTGATAAAATATTTTAATTTGTTGAAACAATAATGTCTTACTTTTTATTGTTATAATTAACTATCTGTAAGTATAATTCTTTTTTTTGTGCAATAAATGTTATTAATTATTGTTTAATTTCATTTCATTTATTTATTTTGCACACTTTTTTTTTGTTTTGAATAAAATAATTAAATTTGAAATGAATTTTTTTTGTTTTGAATAGAATAATTAAATTTGAAATGAAAATAAAATGAAAGAAAGATTGAACAATAATAAAATATTACTATAATAAGTATAAATACTATAAAATAAAATAATATAATTGCAATTTATTTCGATTCATTGTTTTTTACATTAAATTTTAATTCTTTTCCTTTTTTTAAAGAAAAATTTCGTTAATTTATGTATAATACATAGTGAGAAATGCTGATGATAATATTTGTATTTCAATGCAGTAAAATTATCGAAAATACGATAAAATTATCAATAACTTTCGTCATTTGTTAGTATTATCATCTCTCTCTCTCTCTCTCTCTTTACCTCTTTCTCTTTTTTCATTTCTAGAAACTTCATTGCAACATTTATTCATCTAAGATAAAAGTAAAAATGTTTGATAACTTTTTTTAATTGAAATTTTTTGCATAGGAAAATGAAATAATATCTATTTGAAAATTTCGTCAATTCATTTTTTTTTCAAATATTTACTTATTTGAGAATTGCTTCAATGTTTTTGTTTGTCGGAAGTTTTAAACAATTTAATAAAATCATTAATTAACAAAAATTTTTTTTTTTAAGCTACTATTATTTAAAATTATTTTAAATCTAGCTTATCATGGCATTGCATATGCGATCATTTCAATCTTTCTAGTCATAAATAACAATAATTTCAATCTAAACTAACCATAATTATTACTAAATAATAAACAATTAAATGAAATGAGTAATTAGAGAAGATAAGATGATTTAACATCACATATCATTCTTCCTATCCTTATCTTTAATCATTTCTTATCTTATTTATAGCAAACCGATGATTCTCTTCGTTGAGGAAAGAATGCGATCGTTTGTTACAGATAATTTAGCAAATCACTTCCTTCGCTTCCATCCTCTTTTCTTTTACTTTTTTTAAACTGATTAGTTTACTTTCTTCTAACGTTTATTTCAACAAAACTTATTATTTCATTATTTAGCAGTAATTCAATCAACACATTTCATTCAGTGTACTTTTTACATTTCAAGTTAAGTTAAATCAGTTTTGTTTTCCATTTTCTTCGCACTAAAATTGACAGATAATTTCTCTATTTCTCTCTCTTTTCCTTACTCTTTTCGTATTAATTAACTTTTTATTGTTGTTTATTCATTTGTTTATTTTGAAACAATTTCTTTTGCTACGATTTATGAAGGAGAAATTTATCAAACGAAAGAAATATGCCTAATTCAATATTATTGCCATTTGGTTCATCTGCTTCATCTACCTCATCCGGATCCGAAATTGATTATATGCAAAATATTAAAGCAATGTTAGAGAATTCATCACCACAGGTTTATTAAAATTTTCGTTAATTAGTTAATTAACTTGATTGATTAATGAAAATCTTCATTAATTTAATAGAGTAATAATAATGAATAAATTGTTAAATCTAATTAATTGGTAAATTTTTTAGTAATTAAAAAAATTTTCAATTTTTTTTGAATTTAAATTTAAAGAATTAAAATTGCCTACAATTTTTCTTTCACTTTCATTTGATAATTTGAATTGAAAAATTAGTATATCACATTTTCAAACTTTTTTAATGTCAGTAAATATAAATTTAATAATTATTGAATTCATTAATTAACAATATAAAGAGAATGGGGAAGAAAATGAATTTCATTAAATTTATAAATTAATCTTTTTATTATTATAGATATCACGAAATGGTAATTCACAATTACAACGTCTCATAAATAACATTGATAATCCCCAGAAAAGTAAACCAATGAAAGCGATATCATTGGGTGAGCTAAATACTGTTGATTTATACTTTATCGTTGTTTCTATTCTCGAAAGGCGAATAATCACATGTGAGGAGCGTAATGATGCCCTAAAGAGATCATTAAAGAAAGCATTACGACGAATTGCTGAATTGGAAGATTTTATTGGAAATACGGAAGAGCCAAAAGGAAGCTTAAAAATGTTGACACATTCGAAATCATCCACTTCATAAGCTTTTACTTAATTTACAAATTCAATTGTTTTATAATGACATCATTCATTTATACACTCCAAATTATTCCTTCCTATTTTTATTTTTGCAAAATTTTTAAAATAATAAAAATTATTAAATTAAAATGAAATAATTCATTTCTTTCCAGTTCTTCTTTTCTTTCTTCTGTATGTAAATTTAAAATTTTGCTAAAATTAATGACAGATTATATATTTAATTAATAATGTAAAATTAATATTATTGTTATCGTTAAATATTACTATAAATTGCCATTGCTATTTTGTGTAATAATTCTTTTGTAAATTTTATAAAAATTTTCTCTTAATCATCGAAAAAATATTTTACCTGTTTAAAAGTATGTCTTTTATATCGAGTAATTAATACTTTCTCTTTTATCAGTGTCACTTTTTTAGCCAAGTAAAATATAAACAAATTCTGGTCTTTGTTTCATATAATGATAGTTAAGATTATCTTATTTAAAATGAAGTATATATTTTTGTATTAATATATAATTGAAATCAAGTATATATTTAATATTATAAATTTTTGTACTAATACGAAATTGAAATCAAGCATATATTTAATATTATCAGCTATTATATTAATTCAAATTAATTGCGTATATATATCGAATAATTAAATCTTTTCCTCTCTTTCTCTCTCTCTCTCTCTCTCTCTCTGTCCTAGTTTATTTATTAAATACATTTAGTATTATCATGTGAAATATTCTTAATATTGGCTATTAGCGAGAAATAAATTTTGTTATATTTTGAAATTGTTCTGTAACATTACTATCACTAAAAGTAATATTAAAATCAATCATATCGATTGATCGATTAAAATTTAATAAAATATATCAAATAATGGAAATGAATGATCAATTATCATAAGTACATTTGTGTGTAAACATATAACATGTATATATATATATATATATATAGCAAATTTTAATCATATTAAACTTTAAAATAATTTTTAAAGGAAATACCTCTGTTCTTTGCAAATTCATAGCAGTATATATGAATGTGATAATAAAAAATTTTTTTTAAATCATAAATTGAAATTAAAATTAAAATTGATGAGTTATTGTTTCGACAAAGCTGACAATTAATTCCTCTTGGACCTATTTTTTATCAGTGAAAAAATTATTACTGATATGATGAATATGCAAATTAATAATTAAATCTTAACAATTAATTTTTTCCTGATAATTATACTAATTTTCAATGGTATTGATAATAATTGTTTCGGCAATGCTGATAATAATTCTTTAAATACTTAAATCTTAACAATTAATTATTTATTTGCATATTTATCATATCAATAATAAATTTTTTATTGATAAAAAAAAAAGAGTGCATGCTAATTTTTTTCTCTAATAAATGTGCCAAATTTTCAATGATATTGATAGCAATTGTTTCGACAATGCTGATAATTAATTTTTTAAATAAGTAAATGCTAATAATTAATTAATTATTTGTATATTTATCATATCAATAATAATTTTTGTATTGATAAAAAAAGAGTGTATGCTATTTTTTTTCTCTAATAATTGTATTAAATTTTCATTGATATTGATAATAATTATTTCGACAATGCTGATAATTAATTCTTCGTGGAAATATTCTTTTCTTTTTCTTTGAATGTTTGTAATTATTTGAAATTGAACTAACTTTATGGCTAGCTGCTATCTTTTGCTAGAAGGAATGTTAATTTGATTGAGAGTTTTTTCCTTGTGAATTGATGATAGGAATAAAGTGAGAGGAAAATGAAGTGGTAAACAGATATACACTAAAACAGTTGTTTTCCTTATTTTCAACTTTGTTGAAGCTAATATCGTTATTTTTCTTTTTGCACTCAAATATTGCCCAAAGAATTTTTTTAAGAATTAGTTGCTTATTTTATTTCAAATAAATTGCTTATCAATTATTAGGAAATTAATGTCAATATTTAATTGATCCTTAATTAATTAACTATTAAATAAATGGTTGTATACAATCAATATTTTAGGATATTTAAAAAAATTTTTTAAATTTTTAATTTTTTAAAGTACAAAGAGTAAAAAACAAAAAAACAATGGAATTTTCACGCCTATTTTTAAATATGTAAAAGATATTAATCAAAAGATATTTTCCATTAATTTCAACAAACAAACTGCTATTATCATTAATTATTGATAATTCTTATTGTTATTATCAATGAAAAGAATTAAAGTATTTTGAAAAATTTTCCATACGAATTGAATAATGATAATTACATAAGATAATATAGTTAAAAAAATATATTATTGTTAATTTTACTGATTAAGATAATCATTATGGATATTTAAAATTACTCATCATTTTGGTAATAGCATGTAAATCTGCTATAAAATCATTTGATGGTATTGTTAACGATAAAATTTGAAAATAATCATTTTCTGTTAAATTTTCAAAAGAAGCGATGAATCAATGTTATACATCGCTCACAATGAATAACACTTTCAAGCATATGAATTGATAATTGGAAATGAATTGATAATTTAGTACTGATAAAGTAGTGAAGAAATGTTAATGCAATAAATTGAATAGTGAAATTTTTGATTACAATGATCAATATCATCGTTATTTCGTTTTTCATTTATGTAATAAATTATATGATTTAATAAACTTATTATCGATCGAATGGTTTAAGAAAGAAAAGGGACCGGGAAATAGCGGGAAATGAGGATGGTGAAAAAAAATCTTTTAATGAAATGCAAATATTATTCTATTATTATACCATGATCTTTTCATAATTGAAATGAAGATTGGACATTTTTGTATTGTCACATTGTCTTATGCTAAAAATATTATTCACAATGTAAATTTTAAAACAAATATAAACAATTATTAATTAATAAAGAAACATTTATGCGAAACAAAAAAATACAAACAACAAAACAATGTTTGGTATCATTTCTTTTGTTGTTTACGAAAAGCATTGATATAGAGAATATGATGATTAATCGTATTGTTGTAAAATTATTGGGAAAAGAGAAGATGAACAAAGATCAGAATTTAAAACAGAACAATTAATTGGTAATGAGGAGAATAATACAGGAAGATTAATTCAGGTCATTGATACTGTCTATTCCTAAAATAATTAAACAATTTAATTTCATCCAAAATTACAAAAATGAAACACAAACTTTTAATGGGAACATTTATTTTCATACTTTGATTATGTTACTTTCGAAAAGAGAACAATTTTAAATTTGTATTAAGTAAAAAGAAGTTAAAAGTTTGAAACTATAAATGAGGGTGAAAAAGAACGATGCAAAATTCCAACCAATTAGAAATTACAGGTTTTTTTTAATGCGCTTATTTCTGACACTTATCTTACAACTTTTTTAATTTATAAATAAGCATTAATTTCTTTATTTATAAATTAAAAAAGTTCTCTCTCTCTCTCTCTCTCTCTAATAATATAATATAAAGAGGGTAAATGAAGGTATATATAATCATATAGTTTTATCCTTATATTAAACAAATTAATTAATTTGTGTTCGTTTTCATAAAATTTCCAAAAAATAGCTTATTTCTTTATTTTCTGATTTTTTGCAAAATAAAAAAAGCAAAATTAAATTATCCATAACCTATGTGAATTATAATTAGTAAATTATTTTTACTAAAAATAGTTCATTTAAAAAAAAGGAAGGAATTGCATCTTTTTTTAGAGGAAAAATTTGAAAATATTTGTAAACAAACAAACAAACAAACAATTCATATTTTGTAGAAAAGAAATAAATCAATAAAATGATGAAATATTTATTTGCAAATATTGAAAAAGTAAAATTTTAATCTTTTGTTCTTTCATACAAATTTCATTTTAATTATCACATTGAAAGCTTTTGTAGGATATGGAAAGAATAATTCGAGAAAATTTACTTTGCCATTCACTCCTAATATGCCTCCTACCTTATCACAGTATCTATTTTAACTAATAATCAGAATTTAATCGACGAAGAGAAAAGACCAAGGAGAGAGGACAAAAAATTATTCAACAATGCTAATAAACTTAAAAGATCACAACGATCTTGAAAATTTTAAAACTTCTGACTTGAATGCAATATGTAAAATTACCATGTTGAAAAATTTGTAAAAACAAACAATCGGCGTTTATTATTCGCATCCTAGAATGAAAAAGAAAAACAAAAGATTTGGCCAATAATATTCCACTGGCCAAATTTCGATGATTTTAAATAAAATCAAAGTATCACTAAAAATAAAAATTAAAATGAAAGAATGGATCGATCATAAAATGAAGTAATAAAAGTTTGAAAAATTGTTACAAATAAAATATATAATAGCATTAAATTTAAATTTTAAAGAAACAAAAACGTTTTAATTCAATAAAAAAAATTTTAGGAATAAAATTATTCAATACAATATCATAATTTTATTGATTTTAATTTGTTTAGCAAAAATTCTCCTTTTAATCTACAAAAATTCTCTTAAAAGAATATTTCAATTATGTAAAAAATTGGTCAATAAAATGGATGAATTCATAATAATAATAATAATGATAATCATAATAATCATAATGATAATAATCATTATAATAATAATATAATAATCATAATTGTAACAATAATCAACAATAATAATAATATGATTCTGTTAGGAGGAGAATTTATTAGTGCTAATTAATGAAGCTGTAAAAATAGTCAAATTTATTGATTGCATTAACTACTTATTGCATTACTTGAAAAGTTTTTTTAAGTATGGAAAGAAAAAGAGAAAGAGAGAGAGGGCAGAGAAGCAAAGAGGGAATGAAAAAGCATAAACTAAGAAATAGCTAAGTATAAATGAATTGAATAATTAAACGAAAAAAAAAGGAAATGCTAAAGAAAAGTTGGAATAAAGCAAATTTGAGAGATGGTATAGTAAAAACAATAACACAATCATAATAATAATTTCTATTAATTAACAATATTTTAATCGATAATAGACTTCAAATAAAGCAAATTTTGGAAGACA